AGGATGCAGGGGAGACGCAGGAGTTTAATGAGTGTGTGTAACGGCAGAAGAAAAGACCTCAAAGCTATTTAAGTTAAAAGAAATAGGATTATTTAAGACCTCAGCTTATTTAAGTTAGAGAAAAAGAAAATTAAAAAAAAATAAAATAAAGAAAAAAAAAAGAAAAGAAAATGCAAGAAATAAGATTTCTTCATTCCCTTTACAATTACATTTGGGAAGTTGCAGAATAGTACTGTACCTTCAAAAACTCTGTAATGAATTCTTAAGCATCTCATAATCCAAAATGGTTTAGATGAAGGAATTGCTGCAAAAAAAATTCACTGGTGGTGACACCAGCTCTGGGAAGTGGTACCCTGCTTGATCCGAGCTCCCCATGAATTTGGACTAGATAGTCTTTCGAGGTCCCTTCCAATCTCTAACATTCTGTGATTCTGTGAATTGTCAAGACGTGCCTTCTGCTTTATTTGTTCCCACAAGAGATCTCCTGAGCAGTGAGTCTCAGCCTCGTAGATACGATTCCTTCTTTTTTTTTGCTGTAAGCAGCCGAGCACGGTGATGATAACAGGCAACGGTGGTTTTCCTGCAACCCAGCTGAGCCTGTGGAACGAGCGGGACGAGGATCAGTGGGCTGCAACACGGCCGATTAAGAAACCATCGATCGCAAAAAGTTCCTTTTTTTTAAAAAAAAAAAAAAAAAAAAAAAAGCTGACTCCTGTCTCTATTCTATGAGGAGCGCGGCTGAAGAAAAGCCTCGGCAATGCAAAGAAAGTGATTTATGATTCGAACCCTTTAAAAAGCACAGCCTGCCCTTTGTTTGCAGTGGTTTATTTTTAACAAATGAACTTGGTGTAGGAGTCCCAGTGCGTTCTGGCATAAATCTGCCCGACTGCAGCTCGTGTTCCTCGCCCGAACAGACAGGAGGCAAGCAGGGAGCAGGAAAAAAAAAATAAAAAAGTGGTTTGAGCAAGTTAAAACCACTTCAAGCAAGCGGCTTGGAGCAAAGAGGCAGCTCCTAGTCAGAAAACTGATTTGGAAATGTTGTGTCCAAGCAGTTAAAATACGCTGGAGTAAAAGCAGTTCATTTAACGGGAAGTGTTGGGCAATAATTACTCACGTGTATTTGTGCAGCCTCACCTGCAATGCAACGTACGCTGCAAATTAATCCTATTCCAGTGCAATGACACCGTAGAGAGTGGAAGAGAGTTATCTCTCAGGAGTGACATGCAAATGCTTTCCAACATAAAGCCCTGGAGAGCTGGACAAGAGGAACATTTTAATTTTGGTTAATTCCTGGGGGTGGAGGAGCTGTGCTGGCTGCTGCCCTGGGAGCAGCTTGGACCCGGTTCTGCGTTGAGCCGGGAAGGGGTGCTTGTGAGAAGCCAGGTCTTTCCCAGTCAGATTAATTGCTCAAGCTGTTTTTATGTTATTTTAAAAATAATTTCCACGTGCCTCTCCTTAGCAGCTCGCTGAAGTCTCGGGCGATGAAGAAGGGATGCAGAAGAGCGGCCGGAGCTGGAGCTGCAGTCCCGTTGCACGGACCATGAGGGAAACAGAAGAGCAGCTGCTGCTGGTGAGCAGGGAGAACCAAGTGCTGAAGATCAAGGTGTGTTCGCATTCATTTTTAAGGTTTCAGATGAATATCTGTGCCCTGCATTTATTTGGAAACTAAGATGCCTGTCAGATAGTGCCCACAGGTGTTGAGGATTCCTTTCTCTTTCTTTCTTCTTTTTTCTTTTTTCTTTTTTTTTTCTTTTTTCTTTTTTCTTTTTTCTTTTCCTCCTCTTCCCTCTTTCTCCTTTTTTTCATTTTTTCCTTTTCCCCCTCCTTTCCCCCCCTCTTTTCCCCCCTTTTTTTCCCCTTTTTTTTTTTCCTTAGGGTAAATACTGAAATCTGGTCTGGTATAGAGGGCTTATTTTTCAGCATGTGACATACCATCCCTTTTTAAAAAGCATAATATATATGTATCGTACAATTACTCTTTCCAGCTGGAAGCCACGAGAGAAGCAGGTGTGCAGGCTCTCAGATCCGCCTCTCAGAAGCTTTATGAGAATTACCAGACTCGCTCAGAAGAACTGAAAAAAAGCCATGACAATGAGAAGCAGCAAATGCAGGTACAAATCTCCCCCACGTGCATCACCATCCCCTTCAGTCTCAAAATATTTATGTGGGCTCCAGCTCTCTGTGCTGCAAGCTTCAACCTAGGAGCTACCAAGTGGGAAAGTTAAACAGGAAAAAGTATTTTGGATTTATTCCTGATTCTTGGAATGGGGTGGCTCTGAAGTCCTCCAGCTTGTCTCTGTCCACCCAGCGTTCCCCAGCTCACCTGCATTAATGCTTTTCTTGGTCCCAGGCTTACAATCTCCAACAAGAAGAGAAGCTCCGGCAAAGCTCGGAAGATACCAGCCGCCTTGCTGAAGGCTTCAGGGAAAAATGCACCCGCATCGCCGAGATGGAGAGGCGCGTGCAGAGGATGGAGGAGGTACGGCCATCGCTCCTCGTCTCCCTGGAACTGGGACTAAAAAGTGGAACCACTGAAGGTAGAGCCACACTTCTCTGGCTGATGGAGCGACAGGAAATATAATATTGGTTTTATGTAACTTTTTTCCTTAGGAAAAGAAAACTCTGCTAGAGAAGAAGATGTCATTTGAAAAGAGGCTTGAGCAGATGATGTCAAGGAATGAAGACGGCAAACGGTGAGTAAATGGGCATGACAGTTTTTGGGGTTTTTTTTCTGTCTTTCTGGGGGATTATTTCATGCAGAGCACCAAACAATCACTCCCTCGGGTTGCTTCTGGTGGTACAACTATTCACGATGAAAGCAACACCCGATTTACCACGATTGCTTGAAGAAACCAAAACAGATGCTGACGGCTTACAGCTCTTAGAGGTTGATTCTACCTGAATTCCTAGTATTCCCCCTTCCATTCTGCATGCACTAGTTGCTTCTCTTCCCGATTCTCACTTGGAGTTGATGATGCTTTGACAACTTTGTGCATGCAGTAGGTAGGGCAGTAGCCTTCATTATTTATGAATTTGCTTATCAACAGCTAGTAAGGGTGGTCCTACCAGGCAAAACAGGTGTCCAACTATGGTTTTACTTGTTTTGCTCAATAACAAAGCCTCTACGTGTCTAGTTCTGTACGACTTACAGCCACGTGTCCTCAGGAACAGGGTGCTCTGCTCTCGCCCGCAGGTGCCTGGAGCTCCAGCGGCAGATTTCCACCCTCCAGGAGCAGATCTCCCACCTGCGGCGCGTGATCCAGGCGCAGCACCAGGGACTGCACGGCGTCATACGGGAGGTCAGGCTGGCACGGGCTGTCCCACAGGGGACATCAGTCAATCCATTAGTTTGAGTTTTTCCAGGGGAAAAGACCAGGGATGTGAATGGTCTGTGATTCCCCTGGTACGGTGAGACATTTAACTCTGTGATTTTGGTGTATTAAGGTTTCAGATCTCTAACAAACTTTATTTCCTCTCAGGCAGAGGAACTGAACACTGAACTCAAAAACCAAGATAAAAAGATAGAAAACCTGACAGAGAAGCTGACTGCACTGGAGGCACAGGTAAAGTCAGAAAGTAAAAAGATATAGGGAAGGGGGAGAGCAAAAGCAGTTCTCCACAACCTGGGGGTCCTTCACACTGCTGGGCTTGTGTCAGTACGACACCATCAGGGGGATGGTTTTTTGCACTGCATCTTTCACTGGTTTAGAAAAAAAAACAAAACCAAAAAAAACACGCACACAAAAAAAATCCCCCCAAGCCCCACAAAACCCTTTCTGAATGAGCACCAGGTTGTACCTGGCATCCAGGCTTGTCTTGTCTTCTATACTATGTTGAGAGGGGTTTGTTTGATTTTTTTTTCTTTTTCTTTTTTTCTTTGTAGAATAAGGAACTGAAAGACAGAGTGGAGTTCTGGTCTGGCCGGCCCAAGGCTAAAGTTTCCAAAGCTGTCTGGACAGAGTAAGTACCTCTGGAGGTACTGTGGGACACGGGAAGGGCTGATCCCAAACACCTCCAGTGTTCCCTGCAGGGCTTTGAGTGAGTCACGCCTTGCTGGGAACCACCAAACTTCATCCTGCAGAGATTATCTTCTCTGTAAAGGAGAGGAAAAACACAAGCTCTGCTACAAACTTAGCAGCTGATGGTGTGACAGTGGTAGCCCAAGTCCTGACTCCCAAGTAGCTGTCCAGCTCAGGACATCGAGCAAGGGTGGCTGCAGCAGCTTGTACATCCGTCCAAGATTAAAAAGGAGCCTTTCCTGGTGGATACGGACCTTTGCTGTAGTAAATCTGGATGTGAGGTTCTGCTCTCAGTTAGCAGAGCAGGCGTTTGAAGTCAGCTCTTCCCTATCCAGGGCCATAGTTACAAACCTCTGACTTATTTATATATTGAGGGGGTTTAAGCTGGGCTGCTTGATTTCTACCTTCTTGTGCTTCACTCCGCAGCACCCCAGGAGATTTCGGAGCTTTTGGAACATCCCCTTACCTGATGCTCAGCAGGCTAAGGAAGCATGAGAGCTAAAGGAACGACAGGATGTTTGTCTCCTCCCTTTGTCAGAAGGACTTTTTCTGTGTGTCACAACCTGTACCTCCTACGGCCTCTTTGTTACCGGCAAAGCACCTCCAGCACGTGCTGCCTCTCTACGACACGTGGTGCTGCAGAGCTGCTTATGAGAGAATAAACCTGGAAACAAGGCGAGAGGCGGTGAGCTCAGCCCAGACGGCAAGGGCAGCCGGGTGCAGGCAGCAGCAGGAACCTGCCTGCACGAAAGGGCTCCCACCTGCACAGGCTGCAGCAGAGATTCAGTTTAAGTGCTACTCACATTAGGTAAGATTATAAAATAAACTTTCGGCTACCTGGAGTGTTGTTACAGTCGCTGCTTTCCCACCTGCTGCTGTAGGATGGAGGGAGCACAGGGTGGAGGTGGTCCGGCTCTTTCAGGAAGGCTTGGCTGTCCTCCGGTGTTTGAGCCCCGCAGGCACAGGGTGTTTTAGGCATAGCAGCACAGTAATGTCACGGTGTCCTCATGCAAAGAGCGAGTGGAACCCTTTCTGGGTTAATCTGGCTCTTGCTTTCCTGAAAACTTTCCATGGCAAATATTAAGTTTTCTGCACACGTCAGCTGGAATGTGAAGTTGCTCCTTGAGCCTTTCCTCCGGCTGAAATCCCTTTGGAAGGGAAAGCAACTGCTGTAGCGGGAGGGGCAAGAGCTGTTTTTTCACTCCCCTAATGCAGGAGAGGTGCTGCGGTGGTCAGCATCCCCTGTTTAAGATGTGGCACACCTTGGGGGCTAAGTTGTGTCCCCTGGGGAGTGACAGTGGCTTTGCAGACTCACATTTACCTCTGCACTGTGGGACAGAGGGAGACCGAGATCTGCTGTGTCCCTGACGTGCAGACAGAGCGGCATTTGGGGAAAAAAAATAAATAAAGCAAAGTGCTGATACTTAACTAAGGTGTAAAGGGTCTAAGTTTCCTTTTCTTATCTAACTTTAGATACATTATTCATAGATTATGTCAGCCCGGGATTAACTCGGTTAAGGTGCAAATAAAAGCTTGGCACCTGCTTCAGACCAGGGTGAGGCAAGCCGAAAAGCCCTGCCTCTCCATCCCTGGTCCTCCACTGGTTTTCCTAAGCTGCAAAACTAGGCTGTACCTCTTAGGGAGACTCCTCTGCGTCCCCCCAAAACAGCTGAGACACGGGACTTAAAAATGTCCTTTTATTCTGAAAATAACAGTGCAGAAACTGAGTCACAGGATACATTCCTCAGCGGTATGACACGAACCCGGACACCGGTGAGTCAGCTGACAGTATGTTTTTGAAGCCACAGGTACTTTGGTACAACAGAGTGACATTATTAACATCAGTAAGCAAGCGCCGTGGGCCAGTCAAGGGGCATCTAGAATAAAAAATACTATTTTTGTTCAAGATACTTTCAAACCACACTCATAGCACTAGGCATAGCACAGATCTGTTGAGGACAAACATAAAACATGCTTACGGTCACGAAACAGAAGGGAACACTTAAAAGGTAATCGATACAGGATGCTTAGTGTTTACCTGGAAGGTGAAAGATACCTTAACCAAACCAAAGAACAATTCAACTCCCATAAGTAAGTTGAGTAAGATACAACAGGCTGCTTCTAATATACAGTTTGTCCATTAAGCCCTAGTGCGTGATGAGGATGGACAACCTCAGGGGCTATTTTCTAAAGTCGTGTTTTAATTAGGTAACCATATGGAAACAAAGCACGTAGCAAACAATCATGTCCTTTGTTGCCTATAACTAGTTTAGATAGAAATAATAACAATAAATTAGAAACAGATCTGCCCAGCATCAAAGAGTCCCAAGTCAACAGCATCCTCTGGGAAAAAAATGACAAAACCACAAAACTTATCCTATCTGGGTGTGTGGGGTTTTTTGGGAAGAGGGGATTTATGTTTAAAGTGGAAGAATTGTTAAAACAGGAAAGAAGCTGTGAAAATTTGGCTTTCTCTTTAAAGGTGCCTGAAGCCAGGTTCCCTAGCAGTCAGGTAAACTATTCATTTTTACAGCTTCACATCAGTTACAACATTTTTCTTTTTTTTTCTCCTTTTCTTTGTAAATAAAATCAGAGCACGGTCTGAACCTCCTCCAGTGTTCATATCTGTATAAAAATAGCAGTCACTTGAGGTTATTTTTACGCTTGCTACTTTTCCTCAGTTATAGTGACAAAAATACAAATTTTAAATTAACAGCTCCAGATTTTTTTTTTTTTTAGTTTAGGCTGAGAACTTTACTTATATTAATGGATTGAAACAGATCTAGGAGATAAAACCTCTTACGTTGAAACAGCCCCAAAGAGTTGCTATGGAGCAGCTATCACAATCACAACTTATACAACTTTTAAGAAAGTTTCTTACATGGTCCAATCCTCTAAAATGTAAATGTATGTATGACAGCCCTGCACACATTCAGAATGCTAAATAAGATGTAGCCTTCAGAAAACAGTTAAGGCAATCGGGTTTTATAAAGTTACCAAGACAGCAAGGAAATAACAGCCGCTCTCAAGTGTCTGGTGCTACATCATATTTACTGCCAGTCTCTGCCATACACGCAGTCAGCAAATTGCCTTATGTGTTCTCTTTCTAAAAAACCCCATGTTTCAGGCACCCAAAACATCCCCCCCCCCCTTTTTTTTTTTTACCACGAGGATGTGTTGCTCTGCAAGGGCTGCCCCGGGTGAGCAGAGAGGCACACTCCTGACTCTTACTTGGAAGTGAGTCCTTAGAACAAGGGAAAAAAAACAACAAATCCACACATTACAAGTTGATCACAGACAAAAATATTTCATAAAATGAAAGCAGAAGCCTAAATTATTGTGAAGTCTAAAATACACGAAGTGCCACACGCTATCTCCTGGCCCCCAGCCATTTCTAACGGCATTGCTACATGTCAGCAACAGACCTTGTGAGGACTTCTGGAGAGCGTCTGCTTCAGCATCTAAAAACTGTGGACTGAAGAATAGTCATTAGTACTCTCCTGGTCTTTTTTAGTTGATGGAATAATTATTTTCTTTATGGCTGGACAATAATTAAAATAACAACAAAAAAGCTCATTCACATGTGTATGTTCATGGAATAGCTACTTCTGTGCAGTTTTTTTTTTCCTTTTACACCATTTTAACTGTAACAGTTTTGCCCTGACACTTGCTCCCTACTCCAGAGACACTCCAGACCCAAGTCAGCCAAGCACTTAAGCTTAAGTAACTTCTCAAACTGAGCAATCTGGCAAACACTGTAAGCATTTATCAGCATTTCTCTTATCTAAAGCCATGTTGCCTCTCTGCAATTTCCAGCCAGCCCTGGCTATTTCCACCCCTCCGCCTGTCTCCGCAGGTAATTTGTTTTATTCCCAAGGATGCAAAAACAGCGCAGGACCCTGCCCTGACAACAGCCAGCATCTACCCTTGCCCACCATGTTGCAGGACTGACCAAGGCACCACAGTGGCACAATGTAAACATAGGCAGTGTAAATTCACTGCTGGAGTGAGCTCTACTGCCAAAAAGGTACTTTCAATGTATTAAAAAAAAAAAAAAAATCAATCCCCTTTGTCAACAGAACATTCCTAAAAAAGGGCTTGGCACTAGTACTCCAAGGTGAGGGGCTGGTACAGGGAAGGTGAGAGCAAGGATGCACGAATACCAGAATAAAAGCAGCAACATCAGCTTAAAGACATTCCCTGCTGGCTATAAGTTTTCTCACTCATCTGAGCATTATCCCCAGGGTCTGAATTCACCAATTGTGGCAGTTCATAAATGGAGCAGCACCGGCAGACTCTGGCACTGGACTTTGGCAATGCAAATATTTAGCAACGGGTAAGGGACACATTTTTCCCCCACCAAGAAAGACCAACCCAAAGGCTGCGGGCAAACGGAAGGAGCTGTGCCCAGCAGCTCCACCACTGTTTTAGCACAGTGTATTAACATGGTTTGATTCCACGTTTTTACATTCATGTTTAAAACTGGGAGGACAAAAATACCTGTAGATCAGGAAGAAGAATGGACTACAGCGAGCTCTAAGGATGAGACAAGAGGTGTAACGTCATTACGCTGTGTACGTGAGTCAACTGGGACATGCCAAGAGGATTAAAGGAACAGATTCAGCAAGAAGTCAGGTAACTTGAACTGTCCTGGTAAATATCACAGCCTGAGACAGCTGCTGGAGACAAGGAAGGCAGAACTATGCAGAGAAAAAAGGAAACGAACATGACTCTCAGTGTAAGACCCCGCAAGTCGCATCTCTGAAGGACTGCCATTACCGTCACCTTTGTCAGTGCACAGCACTGGTCAGTTCAGAAACTCCTGCGTACACTGCGCAATGAAGTCTGCAGCAAGAGCACTTTACTGGAGGGATACTGGAAAACTGAAATAAGAGATTTCTAAAAGGACACAAAAAACAGAACTTGAGAAACCAGTGTCTGGACT